ACTGTATAGATTATTGTTTTGAAAAGATAATTTCAACTGTTTATTCAAATTTGATTGTTCTATAGTTCATTGATATAAAATTATAAATAAAAAAAACTTGTTTCCATAGAAATTTATAAAATGGTAAATAATATTCCATTGCAAATTTTAATAATTTTGCAATTTTTTTTTATAAATTTTCGTATAAATAGATTTCTTTAGAGACGCATTTCGTTCTAAAATGGTAAATAATAAATCTTTATAAAAGGTAAATAAGAAATTCTTATAAAAGGTAAATAATAAATATTTCATTGTATTTGGTTCACAGATTTTTATAAATCTTGTAAATAAATATTGTCGAGGGAGTCAAAAGTGTATACAGTAATAGCGGTGTCAGAGGAATAACTCTTTTTGAACACACGTTTTTTTTTTTTACTTTTGCTGACATGAAGGTTAAACACTGCCTATTTTTTTTTTTTTTTTTAGCATTATGAAAATTTAAGAATTTATTTTGATAAATTGCAAATATTCACCTTGGAATTTTCATTACCCTCAGCGGGCCTTAAACGAACATTTCAATTTCAAAACAATCTTGGTCTTATCAACAGCGAACAAATATCTTCTAGTTGAAAGATCACACTTGCGAGTCTGATTAAGATCAGCGGTAACAATACTCTCGTCTGAATGCGTTCAATTTACTTGTTATATTTGAGAACAGAAATCGTATATGTCGTTTTTTTTTGCATTTAGCTTGCGTCTTGTAGATAAGGTTATCGCTTACGAACGATGAGTTTGCTTTTACGAGCCACTCTCTAAAATCCACTTCAAAAAATGTTTGTAAGGACAAAGGTCAAAATCATTTCTTAAATCATTTCAGCCGAAGCAAGGAAGTAAAGCCACTAAGGCGGAAGAGGGTTACTGAGTGAGAAATAATGCGAATAAAAGAAAACATTATTGGGTGAACAATAGTGAAAATAGTTCTCATCACAAAAAGTCTAACGCTTACCATATCACGTTGAAACATCGGTTCCCGTACGATTACCAAAGTTAAGCAACGTCAAACCTGGTCAGTACCTAGATGGCTTTAGTTATGGCCACTTATCCAGCATCTCATTTGAGTAAAATTACGCAAATTTCGACGTGAAAACTTTTTAGCGAACTCTAATTTGGTTTTCAATAGAAAAAAAAATTCTCCATTAAAGAATTTTGCAACAATCAAATCGATTGGTGCAAGGTCTGAGGAATATGGTAGTTTTTCCTTTTGCATTTAAAGTGACCTGTCTAATTTGGTTTTTGAATAGAAAAAAAAAAATCCCCATTAAAGAATTTTACAACGATCAAATCAATTGGTTCAAGGTCAGAGGAATATGGTGATTTTTCCTTTTGTTTTTAAATCGAGTCACTCCAAGCAAGGAAGTAAAGCCACTATGATACAAGGGGTGTGAAATAACTAGAAAACAAATATTACTAAGGATCGAGAACAATAGAAAATTAATCAGGAAGACAATAAATAACGATTGACATTGCATTTAAATTTTTGAAGATTAAAGTTGGCTGGAAAGCATGGAGCCGGAAGAGAGTTCCACAAGCGGGAAGTGTGAGAAAAAGAATATGTTAGCATAGAACTTACGGTTATATCCAGCCTACTCGACTGTAAATTCATGAGACCTATCAGCGAATCTAGTACTGCGCTTAAACGCATAAAGACTAGGCGAAGCGATCATCCGAACAATAATCATGGAAGTATTTATAGAAAAGGCACAGGGAAGCAGCATTACGGCAGTTGGAATGTGACTGAAGCCGAGATGCCAGGTCACGACCAATAATATTGCTGATTCTTTGGATTTTATCAAGGATCTCTAAATATAAATCACTTGACCATAAGTGGCAGAAATCTTCTCAGCATGGGCGAAAGGTAGACTTATAGATATATAAGATAGATTCTGGAAAGAAAAAAATTGTCTACCACGACACAGTGAACCAGGTTTCTTAACAACTGACCAAGTAATGCCTTCAATATAATCATTCAACATCTTGTCAGCCGATAATGTTAACCCGAGAAGACGCAACGTGTCACCCTCCTAGACTTTAGCATCATCCATGGTGATGGGAGGCAGAAAAGGGCCTCTCAGATGATTGAAAGACAGCAGTTGTGTATTGGAGGCGTTAAAATGAACAAGCCCAAGCAAGGAAATAAAACCACTAAAGCCACTAACTGGGGCCACAACTCCGGCCCCAGTTAACAACAGACTGAAAATCATTTATCATGTGTTAATCTTGCTGCACGTGTCCTTTTATTTTCATGGAGGAGAACAACATTTTTTCCATTGAAGAGCACTGTGTGCGTTTCGATCGAATCTTTATGCACGTGTTGCAGCTGCTGGACATATAAATGTACATTTATCGTTTCATTGCGTTTTAAGAAATCTAAATGAATAACACTCTGATGATTCCACCACACGGGCAATATTACATTTCTTCCATGAGATTCGGCTTTTGGAGTCAGCTGTGGAGATTTATCCTTGTCAATTCCCTCTCTTTTGCACTGAACATTGTTGTATACGACCCGTTTTTTTATCACCTGTAAGAAAGGTTTAGTTATGATAGTACATTCGACATTACCCAAAACTGAAATTACTTATCACTCAAACTTATAGTGTTTGCTGAAATGCTAAATCTTACAGTTTTTTTTTAGTATTATTCAACCAATAAAAGACCCAAGAGCTACTCAAGCTAGAGGACTACTAAATGGGGTTGTTGTAAGGTCGTACAGAGAGGAGGCAAAGGGGACATATAATGAGGATATATATGATAGATGATTTGAAGAGGTTAAAATTGTAGTGATCGAGAAAGCATCATGATATAATGCAACGGCTTTGGAGAAGAAGCTGTTTGGGTGGAACTTCTTACCAATGAAATATGACGGGAATGGGGATGTCGACTCTGTGTCCGTGGCATGGCGGACCCTAGCTGGGAAGGTCTGGACTGGTGGTACCAATTTTCCGCAAAACAGCGACAGAATAGCGCGAGTCTATGTAGGTTTCATTATTCTCAAGGCCGCGCCAATAGTTTTGAACTTTGTCGACACTGGAAAGTGAAGATTAGGTAGCCCCAGTCCAGGTATACACGTGGATACAGGGTGGGGGTATATGGATTACTTATCTCTCCAAGGATATTAGCGCGAAGTCAACGCATCAGACGAGGCCGGAATTTGAACTCGGCTTGTTGAGTCCATTTTCCGCGCCAATCACTGTTATGCTATCTCCCCATCCGGAAACGAAGACAATGGTCCGAATAGGCCATTAGAAACGGTGTGGATATATCAAATTCTTCAGGGTGTGTCGCTAAATGATATAGTGGAGTCTAGATGGCGTAGGTGTGGTCACAGTAAAGGAACGCTGTTCACGTACGATTTACGTTAGGATTTCTGTGAGGAAAAAGAGTGGAAGAAGGAGTAAAAAAAAAAAAGAAACAAATAAAATGATGTCAAATTGTTCTTTTCACCTTCGAAGATAGAGATTTAGATCTTTGAGTTAAACTGACCAGAACTTGTAAGTGAATACCAAACTAGAATCAATCTTTCCATCGTAACACTATTTAGTTGTACGCACGCTCTCACCCGCACACAGGCCTTCACAATTATAGGGAGAAATTATGAAGGTTAACTGAGCAAATACGTGATTACACTTAGAGATCGATTAGTCATTGTTTCCCGAGACGTATATATATTTCTGTATGAAGGTATTTAAGGATGCTCCCATTGTTTGAGGCGGTACACAGAAGGTTGGTAAAGGCGCGAAAAGTCTTCTGGAAATAAATCAATGAAGAAAGAAAGAAAACATTAGTTGAAAATGAAGACCTTTATATCATAGAGAAGTGATTTCGAGAAATGAGGAACAATCAACGATGTGCGAGAAACTTTGGGTAACTTATCAGATTAATTCACGTACATTTTTACTTGCAGCACACACACACACACAAACACACACACATATATATATATATTAAGGCTTCCATTGTTTTTTATCTTTTTTACATGTGGATGAGGTTATTATGTTTGTATTTTCTACTAGTGTGTTTCGAATGGAGTCTGGTAAGTTTTGTAAAAAGTTACAACGAACGAACATTATGAGTTCAAATGTCAGTTAAGGCCTTGTTTTCTCTAAGATATATTTGTTGTGTTTACATGAGAATGATTATTTTTTATTTCAATCTACACGAGTAATAAAATTTAAAAATCGTACAGTTTAGCGTTCTTCACTTCACAAATAGAAAATTAATTTTCCGCATACAACAAATTTATCTAAAACAAGACTGATAAAACAGGACATTGAAGATTACATTTTTCTAATGTCGAAAGTACTCGGAATAAATGAATATTAATATGGTAACTTTCTTTCTTCCTTAATAAGGATACTAAGAAACTTGTCCGTGAATATGAGAGGATTATAATAAGTAGACAAAACTTGTCTAAATTATTTAATGAGAACTGTCTTTATATATATATATATATATATATATATATATATATATATATATATATATATATATAATTCTGTATTTGGGCAACAATCCATTATTTTTATATATGTATATATATATATATATATATATATATATTAACAGTTAACAACAATCAAAAAGTTAAAAACAGTCAGCTAAGTCACAAACTTTATATTTCTATTAATCATATATATATATATATATATATATATATATATATATATATCTGATTAAAAATCACCGAAATGTTTTTTTCTATTTAAGTTCTTGTAATTTTCCGCTTTCCGGTGTTGGTATTGTGCTCGAAGTTGTGGATAAACTGTTCGAAGTTCACATTTTCTTATTGTTTTGCAAAGGGACTTGTGTAATGTGGTGTATGTGTGTGAATCAGAATTTCCTTGTTCACATTCTGGCATTTTACCATATCCTGGTTATTCGAAAATTGGAAAAAATATAGTGAAAAAAATAGACAGACCTTTATTTATTTATTTATTTATTTTTAATCAAACCTCTTTTTTATGAACACTTCATATTCTATCTATCTATCTATCTATCTATCTATCTATCTATATATAAATAAAAATCCTTCCTCTCTCTCTCTCTCTCTCTCTGTATATATATATATATATATATATATATATATATATATATATATATATATATATATATATATAGATAGATATAGATAGAGAGATAGAGGGAGGCCTGGTGAGAGAGTTCGAATTCAGTCGAATTCATTACATTCACTTACGTGCTAATACCCTTGGGAAAAGTGTGAATCCTCTTCTTCTCCCTCCAGCTATGAGTAAATAGCAGGACAGACTGGGTTCTATAGCCTTGGATGGCAACTGGTCTAGGAGAAGGACAACTCTGAATTCAAAACCAGGTCTCTGAATTCGGCACTTCAATAAGTGTGGCTGATCCTGCACGAAACCTTCACCACTATAATCAAATGTGCTGTTGTCGGGCTGTTGGTTTCCTGGGAACTGATCTGCTTGACCCTCATACGTCGAATTTGACGGAGAGTCGACTATATATATATATATATATATATATATATATATATATATATATAAATATATATATATGATATATTTAGCTATTCATCAAGACATGTGCGGTTAAAAAGAACTGACAATTTCTGTTTAATTTTTTATTCTATTTTCCCAATTTCCGGATAAAATGTTGAGTATTGAGAAGTTGTGGATAAACTGTAGAAGTACATATTCTGTAAATGTTTTGCTTTATTATTTCGAGCACCGCAGTCATTATCAGCAACCAATGTGGTGTCTTGTGTTAGTTGTATTTGCTTGTGTGTGTGTATGTGTGTATGTGTGTGTGTGTGTGTGTTGCTAACACTTGCCAAAAGTACCCAGACCTGGGAATATATTCTCAATTATGAACTTTACCCGCTTTTTTTTATATAGAAAACTGATCATATGACTGAAGTTGGTCATTCCCTGAACAAAACGTCTCACTACACAGTTTTCCAACTTTTCATTCATTTAATTACCTAAATGTATATCTATATAGGTTCAAGATATACATTTATTTATATATATATATATATATATATATATATATATATATATATATATAGTTCTCAATGTAAATTTACAGAGCATTAATATTATAAATTAATTGATTTAAAATATGTTTTTTTTCACTACACAGTTCTAACCATGTTTCAAAAAACGGAAGCTAAAAGCCCCTGAATTTAATTTTGTAATTAAATTAGAGACAGTAGTTCCATATTTTAAATCAATTAAATTTATATATATATATATATATATATATATATATATATATTGAAGCAGAAATCCTTCGTTTAAACATGTTCTATGAAACAGAATGGACAGAGAATATTTGTTATGACTTTGCGTGACTTTCTTTTTTTTTTGAATAATTCATTTGATGACCAATGGATAAATGCGAAGAAATTTGACAAAATCATGTGTTATGCTCTGCGTACTTTTATGACATTTTAAAATCTTTTTCAAGGTTACCAGGCGGAAAATCAAGAAATAGCATGTGTAGTATTAAATTTTAGCGTCCGGTGGCTATAATCAACTTCCGGTTGAAAGGCACTTTAACAGGTTTTGCGTCGAAAATCAAATACATTTTATTGATACTAGGTATCCGGCATTGGATTGTAAAAGTCGTTGTGGATTTGTGTTTATGTTTTTATATATAGCCTTTTGTTCGAAGCGATGAGGGTTTAATCTTTTCAAGAGAAATGTTGCTGTATGACCAATATATGTTACTGTTACGTCTTGTATCAACAGATATGCAATATCCTTATATATGTGTATGTAACAGTACAGTAGAACTCCACAAATGCAAGCGTAGCTACTTCAACGAGTTCGATTTTGGACTCATATTCAAATCCGAATTTTTGTATTGACATAAATATGAAGTCTTTTCTTCCTCGAATCAATAGTGATTGTTGCATTAGTAGTGAAGTCTGTATTGGACGATCAAATTGATGATGAAACTGTATCATGGGAAAAAGCAGAGAAGTCTATTGAAACATTACTCAAATTCATTGAGCAAAACCTTTGTTTCAATGACCACTGGAATATCCAGACATGCGCATTACAAAATGAAATTATCAAAAAGAAACTGCATAATCGTAAAATGAAAGAATGTCGTATTCGCGGGAAAAGCGCCATAGAAACAACTGCCATGAACGCAAATGAAGAACGCAGCGAATTTCAGGAAGATCTGACAATGGACGAACGATAAATTTATAACTTTCGTAAATTTTTAAGCATCTCATAAAGTTTCTTTGTTTTTCACGATTTACAATATTTGTTTAGCACAATTTTTTCATAACATATTATCAATTATTTTTTGTACATTTACAATTAAATAAAAACGAATCAACGTTACAAACTACCTTTTGTATCCTAAACTCGAAAATTTTAAGCTAGCCACAGCAGCCTTTTCTTTGTCGAATCAAAACAGTAACCTCAATACCGAACATCTCGAAGGTTCTGTTTAGAGGAGCTACACTTGTATATGAATTCATGTTAATGTAATGTATGTGTGTGGCTTTGTCGATATGTAAGTACATATAAATTTTTACATTTAATATGTTTCCCTCGCTATAACCAAAATATACTGGACTAAATCAACATTGGCACAAGGCTATGTTTATGGAACACCTAAAAAGTGTATTCACTTGCTTGAGAGATTCGCTTTCTTTCCTGTTACGAACATTAATTTTAATGCATTTTTAGACGTTTACTAATAATAGTGAAATAAAAAGGCCGAGAAAAAATAACTTTAATATGTGCGTGCGTTTATTGCTCTTAAATGTGCGTGCATATGTCCCCTTAATACAGGCTTGAATAGCGAATTAAAAAAGCACTGATGTGAAAAGACGTGTTTCTACATTGGCTGCTTAGGTCTTTCTTTGTATAAGTCAAGTAGATGGGACGTTAGATAACGGCCATCTTCTCAGTCGAGAAAACTTAAACAACGGCCCTTATCCACATGAAGCCACGTCCACCTCTCTTTCCTCATATATATGTGTCATATATATATATATATATATATATATATATATATATATATATATATATATATATGGCGAATAAATAAAATGGGAAACTGTGTTTTTCGTTCTAAGATGGAACTTCTTCAGACAAATATGGGTTTTATTGATGGAAATAATCTTAATAAAAGAGTCAATACTCAATTTATTGTCTTGTCATTCATTTTTCTGCTATTACTCACACACACACAGATGTACAGTGTATCAAAAATACTTTTACAAACATTGGTGCGTCTTCCTCACAGCAAAGCAGACAAAACTCCATATAAACATATGTCTGCAAATCTTTCGTTTTTTAGTTATTAAATTTAAATTTTCTTTACGGTAAATGGCGCTGTACTGCCATGAAAACTAGGATTCATTTGTCATTCATGTATATTTGTAGCTAGCCTGTCTTCAACTTTTAACGTGTCTAGTTGTAAGTTAAGTGAGAAGTGTTTCGTTTAACAATGCCAGGATATTGATATCGGAAGCAGGCAGATGTGAATTTTACATACGGCCGCGTGAATGGTAATGGACGCGAGGCTGCACGGATTGCCTTTCCAGACTTAAGGCAGCCGAGTCGTCAAACATTTGCTGCTGTATATAGGATCCGTGGCACCACAAACTATGAATCGAGGAAGGCCGATATCCGCTCGTACGCATGACCAGTAAGGACACATTCTACAAGCTGTCGGAGACATTCTAGGTATCGGTACAGGTCAAGTGGCCCTAGCATCCAGTACATCTCTTAGTACCGGATTGTGGTGGGGGGGTACTAAAACAGCAGCTCCTGTATCCGTATCATTTGCAACGTGTGCAGAGTCTTTTGCTCTCTGATCACTCACAACGCGAGAAACTTTGCCGATGGTTTATTGCACAAACTGCCGATCCGTCGCTTGCCTCTTCAGTCTTGTTTACGGATGAGGCAACATTTAGAAGAGATGGAATAATTTACACAACCAACATTTGTGGGTGGATTGGATCACATGGTACAACGCAGGCAAAACACCAGCATCAGTTTAAGATTAATGTTTGGGCTGGAATTGTAGGTGACTGTCTGGTAGGTCCATAAGTTCTCCCAGCACATCTTACAGGAGATGTCTATGGAGACTTTATTTGAAACACACTTTAAAACCTCCTAGAAGATGTACCCCTGCCAATACGAAGGTGTGCTTCATGCATGATGGGGATCCAGTACATTTCAGTCACATTGTTCGCGATGCACTGGATGACATTTACCATGAATGATGAGGTAGGGGAGGGCTGGTTCCATGGCCTCTACGTTCCCTCGAACTCAATCCTTTGGATTTTTATCTGTCAGCCCATCTAAAACCATTGGTTTATGCAGCTGACATTACTTATGCCGAGACGCTTCGTCAACGTGTCATGGGGGCCTGCGAAACCATTCGACACCGTTTGGGAATTTTTGAAAGGGTCCGCCAGTCAATGATCCTACGGGTGCCTGGGTGTTTAGAAGCAAGCGGAGTACATCTTGAACATTTGTTATGAGTTCCTGTGCTGAGGTACAACGATGGACTTTTGGACATATGCTTATATGGATATTTTACCTTGTTTTGGTGTCAGAAAGCACTAAAAGTATTTCTGATACACCCTGTACACACACACACACACACACACACACACACACATATATATATATATATTATATATATATATATATATATCACATTTATGGATTAAATAGAAATGAAAACGGTTGACCAATAACTGACCAGTGCAATGAAACGAGAGAGAACAGTCAATACCCGTAGATTAAATATAAAGTATTCAGGTCGGAATTATCTGTTGGTTACGCAAATCGATATACACCTGAGGAAGGCTGGAGAGCATAACGGCCAAAACGTCGTGATAACAACGACAAAGATCAGGATAATAGGCCAATTATAAATCGAGTAAATAAAGATAATTATGTTGTGTTGACAGATTTCACAATATGAACGATTTTATAGATTTTCCTTATAGCCAGAAAAATATAATTCCAGACAATTTAAATTTCGTTTGAAATATACCAAAGTATTTTGATTATTGGAAATATTAAATTTAGTCTATTAGAATTAAAACTAAAATAAAAGCCTCAAGTAATATTTTTCATTTTTAAAATACATTTTAAACCTGAGGTATCACTTTTCGTTCGAAGTACCCACCGTATATTTAATAGAAGACCCCCAAAATAAAGAAGACAACAAAGTTTTAAAGAAACGAAAAAATATATACATACGAAGAAGAAATTGTAAATAAATTCAGCGTTCGTTTTTTTCTTTTTTTTTAAAATTCATATTTTTTTTTTTTTTTGATCTTTTATTTGAAAAGGTTCTGTCGTTTTTATTTCCTCGTAAAAATTTCAAGCCGGCTGTAAAAACCATTTTTCTGTAGAGTCACGACCCTTTATATATTTTCCCGAAGTTCGTTCGTTTGTCAAAGAAAACTTGAAAAATGCCTGTGACCACCCCTAACAACATAAACAACTCTTTGTTAAATATCAGTGTAAATCTCCTTTAACGATATATCTTGTTAAGCATTCGAGTTTATTATTTGCAGCTTTAAATGGTGGATTATCTGCTTATGGATTTAGATGCGTTTATCGAAAAGCTATCTTTATTGTTAATTTTTAAGAACGTGACAAAAGACGATGTACAGAGACGAAGAGAAAAATGAGCCAACAAACCAAAAAATCAGTTTTCTTAATTTCTTCTTCTTCTTCTTCTTCTTCTTCTTCTTCTTCTTCTTCTTCTTCTTCTATATGCCGTGACCCCTTCAGGGCGTGGATGGTCATGTCTCTCCACCATTTCTGGTTCTTAGTGTATCGCCATCTCTCATATTTTTTCTGCCAACGATTAAAACAAGCCCGTTAGCTAGGCTATGCGTTGTTCTCCTCTGTCCTTCTTGCATTCAATATATCATGTAAGTGTCAAATTCTCCAAGCCCTCTTTCCTCATTATGTGTCCTATAAATTTTATCTATTTCTTTCTGATGTTACGTATAAGCGTCCTTTATGTTTTCCTTTTTCTTTAATACTTCGTTGTTTCTCAGATATGCATCCATAGGATTCTCAGCATCCTTCTGAAGAACCATATTATTGTTGCCTATTTATCTGAGAGGAAATTGTTCAACATCCACTGCTGAATAGAACAGATATTTCATAACAGTCCAGTAATCATTTTGTTTCTAATGGGATGTTTTTTGTTTAATACTATGCTTAACTTTTTGAAGGCATCTTTCGCCATCCCAATTCGCCTTCGTATTTTACTGTCCTATTTTCCGTCCCTTGTTAAAACATTTCCTACAGATTTAAATGTTTGTACTTGCTTGATTTAGGGTGACTCAGTTTGTAATTTGCATGTTGGACTATCCCTTTTGCTGACAAACATGCATTTTGTCTCTTTACAATTGATGTTTTGTCCTTTCTTCTCGCTTCCATTCACTATCTTCTTTAGTACAGGTTGATTGAAAAGTAACTCCCTAATTTATATAAGATAGACTCTCCCGTCTTGTAAAAATTATGGTTAGACGTGAGAGTCCATGATACATAAAATAGGGAGTTACTTTTCAATCAACCTGTAGTTTTAAATATTCCTCAATCTACAGGGTGGTCGGAAAGTCTTGTCACTCGCTACCAAAATATAATGAGAACAATAGAAGAACTAGTAATACAAAGCCAGAATGTACCCGATCATGCGTTCATACACTTACAAGCAACCTCTCTTCCAAACTGTAGGAGCTTGTCTCAGCCATCGGCAATAGAAAATTATATTATGTAGGGGTGACAAGACTTTTGGGCCACCCTTAACTTTCTTTAGTATGATTTGTGGACATTAAGGACTGTAATGAAAGCTGTCGTATTCAATACATTTACTGTAAATTTAAAAATGACTTTATATACCTTTTTGTGATGAGAAATATAGACCTGAACGAATCGTGGTACTGAATAAAAGGCTTGCGATTGTTATGAAACATGAGAGGAAAGTGCTTTTATTGATAGAAAAAAATAAAATTGCGCAGAATTAATTTATTTAGATATTTAGTGACATTAAATGTCGTAATCGCTATTTAGTACAGCTCCAATTGGCACGAAATACATTTTCAACTCTGCGAAGCATGGCAGATCAAAAATCAATCGTTGTTTATCAGGGGCAGCTCCGGCAAATAAAACTGGCAGCTGCTCCCGAAAATGACATTTAATCAGTTGTTAACTGGGGCAAGAAATAGCTTGTAAATTTTAACGCCTCCAAAACGAAAGTGCTAGCTTTTAGTCACCATAAAAAAAAGCTTTGTTGCCTTCCATTAGCATGACTGACGCTAACCTAATCGCGCCATTTTGTTTTCACGTTTTCCATTGAAGTGGAGTAATTATTGAATGGATTACTAGGTCTACTGCGAGGAGAGTTGATTCACTATGTCGTGCTCAAAAATTTATCTCTTCAGAATCCATCTTACACATTCATAAATCTACCATTCTTCCGTGCATTGAATATTGCTGCCATATCTGGTCAGATACTTCGAATAGGTTTTCAGAGATTCTTGACAAAATCTAAAAAAGCTCTGTAGTGTAATCGATCCTGACCTCGCATCTCGACTTCAGTCATTTTCTTACTACCAATAAAATCGAAAAAAAAACTAAATAGTGAAAAATATATGTAAATGTTCCACCTACTACCAGATATAGCGAAAGGTGAAATATTCAAACATGGTGGATCGCCTTGCAATGTATAACGTATTATAATTTTGTCACTTGTGTTAAAAAACTGGCCTATCCAAAACTTTGAGCGTAACATAGCCGAACTAATGTGAAGAGAGTTAAAACCTGTGTGTATATAAAAAAAAAACTCAAAGAAATGGCAACATTTTGGATCTAATGTAAAGCAGAATTAAGGCATTTTTTTTAATCATCTTCCCTCCAAGCAAAGCAATAATGCCACTATGAGGCAAAGGGTTACTGAGAGTTAAATAGACTGAGAAGAATTTAGTAAGGAGATTTCAGGGGAACAGAAGATGGCGATTGGTGTTACATTTAAATTTTTGAAGATTGTCTGTAGCAGGGATGGAAGGTACTGCCACAGAAGGGAAATGCGAGAAAAGAAACTATTAAAATAGAACAGACGATTGCATCTAGCTAGTTAAACAGTAAAACAGTGAGACCTAATTGCCAATCTAGTAGTACGCTTGAATCTATGCATTCGAAAAACCAAGGAGGAAATCAATATTTATCTTGCAAATATAAAAATGTGGTACTAGGAAGGCCTATCTTCAATCTATCTTATCTTAAAACTAGCTAGCTACATTTGTTGACCCAAACATACCACAGTATGCCTTACACCAAAATAACACATTCATATTTACCATTCTTACTACAGCCACCACAATACCTCAAAGTCTCTATGAAGTCCTAACTATTTCCCATATGTACAAGGTGGAAGTTCATCAGAGCGATTGCCATGAAAATATTTATATGTAATCGTACAACACCCTAGCCGATCGTCCAACACAGCGGCTGATCGATGATGATCGCTTCGATCTCAGACCTGCCCTATCTCACGTTGTGATTAGTTTGATCATAAGGAGGCCAAGACCGAATCGTCGCAAATATCTTCGTTCTGGGCGGGTCCAAACAGGGTGAAGACGTACAGGGAAAAAAACAAACAAACAAAACACTCGAATAAACTGAACAAAAAGTAAATACTGTATTTATTAGTCCTCGTAAAATAATTGGATATATCAGAGTTCACATGCAATAATTATCAGCTCGACCCGCGTTTAAATCGGAAGTGATATTATCGTTGTTGACTTGGTAAAGTTTAGTTTGCTGCCTTGGTAAAGTTTGGCATAAATCGGAGGTTTTCATCGACAATTAATCACGTCGGCCTCTCTCCTGTCTCTGATCTCGTCTCCGTGTCAACTGCCTCTCTTCTTTCTTCTGCCTAATTCGCTTCGCGCATTCGTATTTATGGACATTCGCCCAAACTCGCATGTCGGTATGGTGAGGTAGGATCATTTCGGCTTACGTCATAACTTTGTGGAATTCCCTTCCTCCACCGTCTCTTTTATTATCATCTCTCATCGACATCTTCAGAGAGCGTGGTTGGTTCCTTCATCCTCCTTAATGTATTGTCTGCGCCTGCTCCCTCGACCACCTTCCGTCCAAGAAAACCATTTTCCAAATTCAGTTGTTTACAAAATTTACTTTTCTGCGTTCCAACTCGTATTTGCAACTGTGTGTCAATCAACATTTCCCCTAGGTCATTTTTTCATTGTTCAAACTGTTCGACATGCAATTCAAGAAGTCGTTTATGAGTGAATTAAATCCTCAATTCTTCCCACGGGTTTTCGGTACTAACCCTTCTCGTTTCAATGTCTCTTAGCACATAACATTTTCTAATGTTTTAACAAAACTTTCTTCAGTTTTACCGCGACAACGACAAATAGTATGACATATAGAAAAGACAGAGGAAAACCACGTCCCGGTGGTGGGAAAGTGATTGGATTCGAGAATCAAGAAAAGAGTTACGGTTACTCTGTGCAAATATGTCTGATCAGAATACTGGCGACTTTATACGGATCGTACACTGGCTGTCACCGATTAATTATTGAAACAGCGGGTGACTGAAAATGTAGAAACAAACAGAAGACGAAAGGGAAGCAAGAAGAAAGGATTGAGTATCAAATAAGAAGAGAGAGCAGCTCAAAAATACGAACGACAAATAGAAGTCGTTAAAAGTGTTAAAGCAACCGACTGAAAAATGATACCAAAATCCGAAGTCGCATTGGAATAGCGAAAGATGCCTTCCCAAAGCTAAAAAAAAGCAAATAAAGGAGATAGTAACATTTCATTAGAAACTAAGAAAAATGTTGAACTCCTATGCAATATCAATCCCCAAATATGGCAGTGAATGCTGGACAATCTCTTCCCAGATGAAGAAGAGACCTGAAGCAACAGATATATGGTTCTACAGAAGGATGCTGAGAATACCGTGGATGGATTATGCAAGCAACAAGGAATTTCTATAGAAGGATGCTAAGGATACAATGGGTTGAACATGTGAGCAACGATGAGGTTTTAGAGAGAATGCAAACAAGGAGGAAGCTTATACTTAACATCAGGAAGAGGCAGCTGAAATTTCTGGGATACGTAATGAAAAAGTAGGGCTTGGAGAATTTGATACTCACAGGGTGGATAGAGGGAAAGAGAGACAAGGAAAAGCAATGCGTGACATACCTAGCGGGCTTGAGCAAGTGGATGATGGAACAGGATTTGGGGGAGGTGGCAAAAAGACAAGACATATTAAAAACTACAATGGATAGGGAGAAGTGGAGAGCCATGATCGTCTACGGCACATAAAAGAAGAATCCGGGAGACTGATTGATTGATTGGTTTTCTACGGCTTATCAACCCTTTACAGGTATTTAAAGCCAGAAAATATTTTTAGGTTCTAAGTATTTTTTTTTAGATATTAATGGTTTACAGATACACGTCCTATTAACCCATGGTGGGGAGAAGACGGTTCCTGCCTTTTCCGAGGTTATTTGCCCATAAGTAAATATAACGAAGCCAACTGGAATTGAAACTCGGCTATCCGATTAACAGTTTCATGCCATTATTCATTACAACACCTGCACATCAATGCTTACAGCACCTGGTATTCCCAAACAGTTACCCATCGAGGTACTGACCAGGCTCGACCTTGCTTAATTTCAATGATCGTACGGAAATCGGTGTTTCAACGTGATGTAGCCATAATCCTAAAATCCGAAAGGGACAGTTGAAATTTCTGGGGCACATAATGAGGAAAGAGGGCTTAGAGAATTCGACACTCACTGTGTATCTTGAAAACGAAAGAGGCAGGAGACAATAGCGAGTAACCTATCTAATGACCTTTTGTAAATGGATGGCCAAACAAGGATTGGGATGGGTAGTAAGAGGACAAACATTACTTCGAGCTACGAATTTTTTTTTTTTTTTTTTTTTTTTTAAGCATTGTGCCCCAAGCAAGGCGTGAAGCCACTAGGATGCAGGGGGTTGCGGAAGATTTGGAGCGAGAGCAGATAAGAGTGATAGGAGAAAGGAAGAGGAGAAGGATAGTGGGTAGATCAAGGTAATTGGAGATGTCGATTGACATTACATTTGAATAGTTGGAGATTATAGCTTTCAGGGAAACAGTAATTGGGGAGGGTGTTCCACTGGCGAGAGGTGTGAGCTATGAAGCTATTGGAGTAGAAGAGACGGCTACATTTGAAGGTTTCTACGGTGTAAGGGTGAGAGCGGGCTGCCAGCCTCGTAGGGCGCTTGAATTCATGGGAACCAGAGAGACCAGCTCATCAGAGCAGTTACCATGGAAGTATTTGTAGAAAAAAGATAGAGAGAGGCGACGGCGCGTCTGTGAGAGAGTGACTGCAAACAAGACGCTAGATCAGGGCCAATTAGATTACATATCCTTCTCTGGATCTTGTCAAGAACTCGAGGTAAGCAGAAGGTGCCCATATATGGCAGCAATACTCCATGCAAGGGCGAATGGTTGTTGTGTATATTTGGAGTATCGATTCAGGGGAGAAAAATTTCCTGGCGCGGTACAGAGAGCCAACTTTCCTCGCGGTGGAAGAAGCAGAATGATTGGAAGTTGGGGAGACCCATGAAGGGTCATGGCACATTTAAAGTTGATATTTTAGCAGGTCGACAGGTACGAAGGAGTTACTGATACACTGGTGATAAAATTGGAGCTGTTTTTGCGTCTTCGGATTTCTTTGCTGACACTCCACTATTTTGTCATCTGAGTTAAACTTCCGTCTCCTAAAAGTACACATATCGCTTACTTTTTTCATCTCGGGTTGTGAGAAAGCTTTTTCAGTTGTTGTATGTTATTTGTGGGAACATATAATTTAAGTAAATCAAACAATTTCTATTTTCCAAACGCTTTAGATTCCGTATATTAACATCAGTCAACATTACAAAAAAGTTGGAACTGATTTTTTTTCCCGTGGTTTCAGGCCACGTGCATTGCCGGCAGGAATATATCGGGCTAATAATTGGTTGGAACAAAAGTCCATAGCATTTTTAATAGGTGGCGTTTTAACGCATGATTTCGTTTCACACGTGACTGAAAGTTATGACAGTATATATTATAACTTTTTGACTTTCTGTAAAATAAGTGATTTTCTTTATAATTCGAAAAACTTTTGTTCAAACGTGATGAAGAAGGGTTTGATTCAGTTTTTTTTTTTAAATGTCACCTCCCAACACGAAATTTCTAAAATTGTACATAAGTATAATAATACTATAACTTTCTGGAGCCTTCTGGAACTTATCACTGTTTATTTGTAAGGTTGTATTTTACTAGCAGCATGGCCCGGCGTTGCCCGTGCTTGATTAAAAAATCGTGCGACTCATACAGCAATCGCTATCTCTTGACTTAAAATATTTTTGCCCTTCCTTGCCTTTAAAAGAGTGTCCTTTGCCGTGCTGATGTTGCTACATGCCTTACTTCTTGCCTATCTCACACTGCGAATTTTTTCTAAGCTCTATACTAAACATTAAATCTGTTAGGAAAAAAGAACTAAACAAAATGAACACAAAACGATCAGCTTTAAAAAAGGACTCCTAACTGGAAAAACCGAATAAAAAAGAATGTTAACAACAAATACTTTTTCACACCCAACCCAGTTTTGCAGAATGAGAATCAACGTTGAGTTTAAGCAAGCGAATGTGACCAATTGGAGTAAAGTGCCATGCAGATTTAAATTTTTCCCACTTGTGACGAATGCAGCTATCGATTTTTTTTTTGCATGCTAGCATGCTAGTTATCATTCGTGTCAGTCAGCTGTTGGCTCTCACGCTGGCCAATAGAAAATGGCCGCAAACTACATGAAAAGTGCCGTAGAAGCATGAAAAAATCGATTATTTCCACTATCGATGGGAGTTGTGAAATGCAAAGTCGGTCTTGGCCTTCACGCTAACTTGGAGCATGTGCATGTTAATTTTGGTGCAAATCCGTCGAAAATTGCGGCCGTGCATTCATTACACACACACACACACACACACACACACACACACACACACACACACACACACACACAGACATCCTGCCTTTTATAGATAGAGATGCTATAGATTATAAAAAATGTTAAATGTGTTAAAAAGTACGTAAGTACTATCCAATTACATCATTAGCAAATTGGCGTTATTTCACGTTAGTTTGTTGAATGTTTCATTGGATATTCTGGGAAGTAAGTGTTATTTTTGTTTACCACCGTCTTTTGTATTTATTGTTGCTTTTATTGTCGTCTTTTTCGTGTAAATTCCGTGTTTTGTTGACGTGTATTTGAATTGTTTGCGGTGACGAGGATACACCATCATCATGGCGGATCCCGAATCTCCTAATGTTTCGCCTACTGAAGTGACTCCTTCGGCATGGGCAAAGGATAGGCTTCCACAAAAAGGGTCAGAGTATTATAAAAAAAAAAAACTTTAGGACAAATTTGAACCATTTGTTAATGGAAAAGTGTAGCTACTGGTGCCGTCTCTGTTGGAACACGCGTACAGTTTCTTTAGTAACAACGAACCCAAAGACTCGAAAACTAAATACAGCGAATAGAGACGTTATGGAGGAGGTCTTGAAAAGCCTGCAACAATTTTGGAAAAGAGAAGTAGGTCAATATGGGACATTTTGTTACCTACAGAAGATTCGGCTAAATCGCTGGCAGGCTGTATTCTGACTACAGCTACAATCAGGCTACAGACTGAATACATGGGAACAAGAAAGGCGAATGTGACTCTACATAAAGTCGCCTTATTCATATCCAAAGATCATCTCGGCTTTTTCTTTTCCAAATACGGGGATGTCTCCGACAGCTCCCCTATTAAAAGGAAGGCGTGTATAGCCACAGGCGATTTCGACATTGCTATTACTTTGAACAGAAAGCAGTTCATGGAAATGCCGAACACATTAATGTGTGAAGGACGAATGATTTATGTCGTTGTTGAGGGCCGCCGACCACTTTGTTGGGTTTGTATGGCCGCGGGGCATTTATCGAAGGCTTGCCCGGGACAAAATCCAGAATCCTAACCCTAAAAAGAAAATGAAGAGGGAATATCAACGCCACAGACAGCAGCACAGAAAACTGGAGAGTGGACGGAAGTCGTAAAGAAGGGATCGAAAGTGGCTACCAGTTACCTTCAGCAGCAGTAGAATGAGAAGCCCCAACCTGAGTAGGAGGACAAGCAAGTAGACCAAAGTACAGTAGAGGTTGAAATGGAGGGATGCCCCCACCTCTGTCGTCATCACTGAAAAGGAGTAGAGATGAAGTAGAAGAAAAAGAGGAAAAAAATAACGAAAACGGATAAGCGAGCTGGCAAAAGTAAGATCAAAGAAGGCAAAAAAAGAAACAAACCAAGGCTCAATCCCTCCCTGCTTCGCCAGTCAAGAAACAGGAAGAAAGTACCATAAGGAGCCTTCTTTCTTCCCCTCTGAAAACAGTACTGAACTCCCCCCCATTCCTAATACACCTCCTCCAAAAACACCTTCTCTGATTACCACTGCAGCCGATGACATTTCCACTTCACCCAACACTCCCTTTCCACCAGCACAACGTCCAGCGACTCCCCAACGCCCAGCATCACCCACCAGAGTTTTTCTCATAAGAAGAAATTCCCGGGGAGGGGGGGGATAATAAGATCATGTCAAATAGAGAGGCGGGCAGTAGAAAAAAAGAAAGAGCGCTATTAAAACCCCTACTCGAAACATTATCAGTAGACGGACGCTCTATAGAAGACCCCCGAAATTTCACCACCGAATATAGTCAGCAGCTCACACTAGATAAGGTTAAAAAGGTGAAGACACTTAAAGATGTTCCAGGTGGAGGCTGGGGGGACTCCCTAGAGATAGGGTTAGCTAGGCAGGCTCTGGAGTGCGCGCTACCAGTGTCAAGTAGTTAGACATAGGTTAAACAAGATGTCTAATGAAGAAGTGAACATCGGCGCACAGTTGCGCAAGAAAGAGATCCGTCGTGGTTCCGATGATTAAATTCGTGAAGTTAAAACCCCGGAGGGGCGTACTCCGAGGTCGACTGACAACATGCGCAAGGTATTTTGGCGGCATTTCGAGAGCCGTTTTACCAAGTAGCCTGGTCTCATTGGCGCTGAGTTTCGCAGCTCTTTGGATAACTTTCCTCGGCTTTCGACTGTAGCGGCTAGCTGCGAGGGTGAGATCACGGAGGGCGAAGTATACTTGGCGTTGAATAGGGTCGGCAATGACAAGTCTCCGGGACTTGATGGTTTACCCTATGAATTGTACTTGAGGCTGTCGCACATCTTTGTACTGATTTTGACTGTCGTGTTCAACAACTGGTTCCGGCAGGGGTCCATCCTCAGTCGGATCATCAGGAGTGTGATTACGCTGTTGAAAAAGAGCAAGGATGGTGGGCGGAATTTAGACGATTACAGGCCCATAACTCTGCTGAACACAGAGTTAAAGATTTGGGCGAAGATCATGATTGAGCGTTTGTAGTCAGTTGCTGAGAGTCTGTTGGGACCCGATCAGACTTGTTCTGTGAAGAGTCGAACAATTCAGAGCAACCTACATCTGATCGTAGACGGTGTAAAAGACGACGAGCAAGCCGGATCAAGGCATTTAATAGGGTCGACCATCGGAATCTGGTTGCTGTCCTTCGAACCTGACTTCTGCAAGTAGATTAGCCTCCTGTATCGCTCCCAGTGCTGCGGTACAGGTGAACGGAAACTATATATTTAAAAACATCTCTGAAAGTATAATATTATGTAAAAAGAAGTTAGATTTCGATGGTGGGGGCGTCGGGGGGGTCGTTAAAGACGACTGATAAGGTGAAATGATTAAAAAAGAAAAAAATATATTTATTACCTTAAATAGAACTGATGTAAACATCTTAATACTAAAAAAAGTTCGGTGTGGGATATATCTTAGGAACCTTTCGGTCAACCTTTTGTCAAAGAAAACTGGCGGAATAATTATTATTCTTTAACAGAAATACAATATCTAAGAGTGAAAGAAACTGAGAGAGGACAATAAAAGAACCCGGTTCAAGAATACAGAAAATGGCGATTGACGTATTTACAAAAGAAAAAATACAAAATTATTTTTCATATGTTTACAATATTTTATTTGCAATACCAAAATATCCACCGAAACGGCACCCCTTAAAACTGCATATATATTCTGAAGATTTCTTGAATCCTGATAAAAATCTACAGCTTCAATCCTCTGGTTGTAAACAGCTGGTACTTCGGTTCCGTCCTGACAAGGTCTGAAGAATAATAGACTCGGATGGATAAGTATGCTTGCTAGATAACTGTTGGATGATAATGGGTATATCCCCATTAATAGACATACAGTAGTAAATACTGTATTTTGGTCTGCAGTTGGACATTCGTTTCCAGCTATTTTGGTCAAACTCTCTGCCTCTGGGCAGAGAGGATACCCAGACGAGGCTATGTCGAAGGGCAGAGTAACGTCTCGGGAAACAGCTACCCAACCCCGTTTTATACGGGGGTCTACGGGGAATTTTTGGTCGAGTTTACGGGCTCAGATACCCCACATTAAATTCGGCCTTGTGCCGCATATGACCGCGTGGGGCGGTTAGTAGATATCCTGCAGCTGGAGATTCCTTGTGGAATTCACCTGACTCCTTCTAGCAGTTGACTACTTCTACGCACTGCTGGCGAATCTTATATGTGTTGTTCTTGTCCTAAGTATTATCGTTCATTAGCAATCTTCGTTTGATTATTCTATTCAGTAACCTTCCCTAGGTTACAACAATAACAAAGGAAGTTGTGAAGTATGAAGGTGACAGTCCTGCTATTCGTTATTCGAACGCGGGGATGAGCAGCGATGAACCTGAGAAAAAAAAGTAGATTATTTGGAAAATAGGGAAAGCCGTAGAACAGTCGACAAAGAAAACAAGAAAAATGTGATAGTTTAAAAGGAGAAGTATACAAATTGAGTTCAATGAAATAGGTGGAAGTCATCTCTGCTGTTGTTTGGGTTTGGGTCAACATAATTACTACCAGAGAGAGAGAGTGAGGTCAATGTCAAGATTAGACACTTACAGAAAGCTGCACTTTTTTGGTGAGTACTAGTATAGTCCGAGAATTTTGGAATCATAATAAAAAATGTGTCACCTGAGTTCACTGGTTGTTGACAGTGTGTAGTTTTGGTTCCATATCCAGCAAATTTTTCTGTTTATAGATCAAAGGACAACAACAATAGCAATAAAGATATAAGGTGACTTGCAATCGTTTGATCTCGAGCGATAACCAGCAGGTCGCTCTATCATCAAGATGCTAAGATATAAAAATTGCAGGTGTCGATGTGCCATAAACCGAGGTTTATAATTCTATTGTCATTAAAAAGCTTTCAGAATAATGTAAAACCTCTTCGCTATTTTGTTCAATAATTCATTTATAATGGCCAGACTATTTTAGTCGGACTTCCGTGACATTGTCTTGACGTGGAAAACGTTTGTTCCTGATTTATCCTCATTCAACGAATAGTCTCGACGCCCTCTCTCTCTAAATATCTGTGTATCTATCTATCTGTTTGTCTATCTAACTTTGTAATTTAGTGTTATTGTCAAAGGATATGTCTTTCATTTAATGCAATAGGTTGTTCAAAACACGCAACCAAATAACATGAGTTCTTACATAGCGGCTACTTAGTGGCGGGTTCCTTGGTTTGCTTTTCTTATCGCGCTTATCAGGCTTCATCTGAAGCACGCAGATGAAAGCACACACACACACACACGCACGCACACGCGCGCACACACACACACACACAGAATGCGTGTATTTGTGAGATTCTTCGTGCGCATGCGTTCATGCATGTGGACAATACATTATTCTCATTCTAAAATCTTTATCTGCACTCGTGCTTGTTTTTTTCTTTCTTTGTTTATTTACGAACTCTTTGTAGTCATTGCAAACTTTCTTTCTATGCTGTCTTTCTTTCTTTTTGTAGTCTTTCTTTCTTTTTGTAGTCTTTCTTTCTTTTTATTTCTTTGTAGTTTGTTTTACTTTTTTTCTTCGTAGGCATTCATTTTTTCTTTAGAATTATACTTTCTATTCATTTCGTAGTCATTCATCCTTTCTTTTTTCCTTCTTCCTTTCTTTGTAGGCTTTCTTTCTTTTTTGATACACCTTAATTCCATATAGTCTTTACTTGTTTCTTTCTCTCTTTTATTGTAGTATTTCTTTGTTTGTTTGTTTGTTTGTTTGTTTCTTTCTTTCTTTCTTTGTAGTCTTTCTTTCTTTTTATACACCTTCATTCCTTGTAGTCTCCGTTTCTTTGATTGTTTCTTTCCTTCATTGATTGTTTCTTTCATTCTTTCTTTCTTTGTTTCTTTGAAGTCTTTCTTTCTTTTTATACACCTTCATTCCTTGTAGTCTCCGTTTCTTTGATTGTTTCTTTCCTTCATTGATTGTTTCTTTCATTCTTTCTTTCTTTGTTTCTTTGAAGTCTTTCTTTCTTTTTATACACCTTCATTCCTTGTAGTCTCCGTTTCTTTGATTGTTTCTTTCCTTCATTGTAGTCTTTCTTTCTTTCATTCTTTCTTTCTTTCATTGTAGTCTTTCTTTCTTTTTTATACTCCTTCATTCGTTGTAGTCTTTCTTTCTTTTATCGTTGTCTTTCTTTTTTGTAGTCTTTCTTTTTTGTAGTCTTTCTTTCTTTCTTTCTTTCTTTCTTTCTTTCTTCTTCCCACTTTCTTTATAATTATTCTTTCTTTTCTTTTTGTAGTTATTCTTTTTTTCTTTGCAGTCATTCATTAATCCATTTCATCTTCCTTAATGACCATTTTTCTTTATTTTTTGTACTTATGCTTTTTCGTATTTATTCTTCTTTCTTTTTTTTCTTGTAATTTTTCATTCATTCTTTCTTTGTAGTGATTCAGTAATTCAATAATTCTTTCTTTCTTTCTTCGTAACCATTCCTTTTTCTCCATTTATCATTCTTTCTTTGTAATTATTTTTGTAGTAATTTTTCTTTCTTTCTTTTTTCTTTCTTTCTTTCTTTCTTTCTTTCTTTCTTTCTTTCTTTCTTTGCAATGTTTACTTCTGTGGAGGCTTTTTCTTTAAAATATGTCAGTCAGTTATGTGCTATGCGTGATACACACTTAGGCGATCATGCATCTTTCGATACATGACTGACGAGGCAGATTTTTTTTCCCCACAGTACGTTGCTATTTCTTTCTGCAGTAGACCAGTTACCATCCAAAGCTATAGAACCCGGTTTGTCCTGCTATTTACCCATAGCTGGCGGGGGAGAGGGGCGGGGGGAAGAAACAGTTCATACCTTCCCCCAAAGGGTATTGGCACGTAAATAAATGTAAGGAATTCGACTGGAATTCGAACTCGGCTCTCCGATTTCTCAATTCCAGCCGCTATCCATTATTCCACGCTAAATTTAATGTCTTTGAGCGGGGAAATCTCGGCAAGAAGATTTTGCCGAATCATTCTTTCAATGAAAGGCAGTTTCCATGTTTTAAAAATCAGCAACTGAAATTCTGATTACAGTCACGGACAACTAGTATCATTTAGACACACTTCACTCTGCTGTCCACATAGTATCTTACAACTATTACTTTTTCCTATGGCTCACTTGTATTTCCCACTGGCGATAACTCACCCAACGCTACTGAGAGGACTGGGATGGTCTGCCTTTTGGCTGAAACTGAAAATAAAACATTTTCTTATCTTGTCTTCAATCGATGACAATGGTATTGACGTGAGCTGTACCATTTGTCTAAAATCTGCAGTTTTCAAAATATTTCAAAAAACTTTATTTTCCCTTTTTTTTATTTTGAAAGATTAGCTTCTAAGACTTCCATAAAAGTTTTATATGCTGAAAATGTCTATAGGTCATATTCCAGAAAATAAGTACAAAAGAACAAAAAAAAAAAGCGAATTTAGAGTCAAAGCAAAAAAGTTCACAATATGATCTTATTCCATGTGCCGCGATCACGACTCTTCACAACATCCTATACTTTATAGCTTTTAATAACATAAGTTTTTTCTGGATCTTCTCCCATCCCCCATTCCATTATTTATTCACACAAGCTCGTCAGGACAGTTGCCTGTTCCTTTTTCCTTTGTCCTGTGAGTATTATATTCTCTAACCCACCCATCCTCATTATATGTCCAAGACATTTCAGCTGTCTCTGTCTGATTCTGAATACAAAGGTTGTTTTTGTTTCCATTTTACTTAAGTTTTTTCGTTGCTTACCCGCCCCGTCCGTGACATTCTCAGCATCCTTCTGTAGAATTAGTTTTCTGTTGCTTCCAGTTTCCTCTTCGTTTGTGAGGAGATTCTCCAGAATTCACTGCCGTATAATAGTATTGGTATTACATGACATTTCATCACTCATTTCTTTGTTTCAACGACATTTTCCTCGTGTTTTCCACTGACATAAAGAGGAGTGATTATATTGAATCCATTGCTAGGTTTGTTGCTAGGAAAGTTGGTTCACTGTGTCGTGTCAGATAGCTTTTCTCTTCAGAATCTATTTTACACATTTAGAAATCTACAGCTCGTCTGTGCATTGGATATTGCTGTTATATCCGATCTGTCAAGATGCGACACTTACAGAAGTCTGAACTCATTGGGATTGCTCAGACATTTCGAAAATTCTCGAATAAAAAAGTGTCGTTCCATCATCACCGAATGAGCCATGAAGTTTCGCCTAACGCGTTGAACAGGTGTTCTTTAAGGAAGGCCCCGTGCCTTGTGCTCCTATTGGGACATAAGCACGACCCAGACCTCAAGTGATCCATTGTTAAAGATGCTGGACAAAAGTTTGCTTAGCATTTGGAATGAATCTTTTGATATTCCAATGCTCGTTCGGATTTCGGTGTCATATTTTTAATCCTCTTTTAAAATGCTTCCCAGTCCTGGGTATGACTAAGAAAACTAACCCCGGCAGTAATAATTAGATTGGAGAATTTAAGAAGCGTGGAACCACCTCTTAATTGCTATTATTCCCAGGTCGACGCTGACCCGGTGTGGTAGCACCTGTTAGGGTCCCAGCTATGAGCAAATAGTGACCCCCAATACAAAAAAAAACAAAAAAAAAAACATGAAAGGATAAAAATACATTTTATAGTAAAAATACCAGCAATACGTTTTTATATTAAAAGAAATTACCAACAATATATATTTATAGTAAAATTATTAACAGTACATCAATCAACATGAAATAACTTTTCCTGATATTAGTCCATATAATATCATTACAGTTTCTTAAAGGATCAAACTGAAGTCCAAAATATAACTTGATCTGTAGCTGAATGCATACAATTGTTTAATAATATTTAGATTTCGGCATTAAATAACCCATAGAGGTGTTGATATGCCGTGAAACACGATCAGTGAACCAACTAACCAAACAAGAAAACAAGCAACATAAAAGAACTCTTCCATGACATTAATCCATATGATATCCTACAATTTCTTAAATCAAACTCTATTCCAAAATATAACTTCAATAAAACTACAATATAAAACACACATATGACTGCCTCTAGTAATTATGTCCACACAAACATGTATAGTGATTTTCCAAGCGTAGCTTAGATGTGGCACAAGGCCGAAAGTATGGGGCACCCAGTGAGAATCGAACTCACCATTCAGTCGTAACTGTTTTAGTGAGATAACCTTGCTAACCATTACTCCACGCCGAGGTGACACCACACAAACATGTATAAACACAAAATCTGAGTATCATCTACCATGTATTCAATTGTGAAAGCAGAATAACATATATCATATTTTCTTTACTTCAAGGCTCCAAAAAACATTTCGGAATTAAATGACCCATGAGGAGTTGATAAGCCATTAAACAAACAAACGCTTCCCAAAAATTTAAATTTCTGTACTTGTTTGATTGTGACATCTCCATTTCCTAGTTTGTATGTTGGACTGTTCCTCTTGATGGCAACCATATATTCTGTCTTCTTGCAATTGATGGTTCGTACTTTCTTCTTTCTTGCTTTTACTACTTTACACTGTAAGACCTAAAACTAAATAAAATACAAAGTCGATGGGCTAAATCAGATGTTAAAAGTCAGGTGTTAAGATTTAAAGTTTCCAAATTGTTTTTATTGTCTTATATAATAAATTTTTATAGTAGAAGACCATATTTAAAAATATTAATTTTATGAGACGACCAGGAAAAAAAAAAATCAAAAAACAAACAGGAATCTTTAAAATTCCAAATATGGTTTTTAAAATCTGATTTAGCACCTCCGACATTTTATTTTGTAGGAACTAAGCCTGTAATTCCCCAAGCAGGCGGTGTATTCGTCCATTTGTAAAAACAACTGTTAAAGCTGTGTGACATAAATACGTCTGTTTATAATTTTTGTAACTCACTCCTTTTCCATATTTTACTGACTGTTTCACTTAGTAAACAATTCTTTTTTCACGCGTCGCTTCTTTTTATTATCATCTTAAATTTGACAATCTGCGTTGGACGATGGAAAGTGAATTAATACAGAAAGCTTTGCTTCTTGGATGATGTTTAGTAATATCGGGACTTTCGGCTTTTTTATGCTTGTTTGACATGGGATCAAAATACTATGTGATAAAGATCTTAATGAAGCAAGAAGGAAAGAGAAAGAGAAATAATGAGTGAATGGCGGTAAATCAAAAAGTAGGAAAAGTGGACACTCGTGATATGCATCTCATTGAGCATGCGTCGGATAGTGCCTCGTTCTGGATGAAAAATTGCTTTTTAGCTTAGTGGAAGCAAAACATAAATTTCGGCTTGTAAGTGCACTTGAGCGATTATGTTTACGCGTGTCTTAAATGGGATAGAGCTTTTACTAACAGATATGCTCACTACATTAAAAAACCCCAACAATGACAATAAAATAAAAGTTAGAAAGAAACACTAAAGAAAATAGAGTTTTCAGGATCAGAGTATGAGAAAATCGTCGACAGGATTGGGGTATGAGGAAATCATTGTTTTACAGATTTAATCGAAAGAAAAATGATGACACAGGAGACTTACAGAACTTCTTTTTCTGTCTATACTTCTGGTTGTATTGTAATTATTTACACCATTTATATTGTTCGAACTGTTGTCGTCATCTTTGCTGCCATATTAACGACGTTTCGGCCGTTGTGCGATTCAGCACTCTTCAGGATCTGTCTATATTTATGAGATGAAGTATTGCAATTATTTACACTATTTACATTGTTTGGACTGTTGTCGTCATCTTTGTTGCCATATTCACGACATTTCCTCAAGGACACGTGGCACAGTGGATAATGGCGTTATTTAGATCCAGTGACAGGACCCAAAGAGTGTGAGTTCAATACCTAGTTAAGGTACTGAAGATGATAAATTCACCTTTTCATCGTTTTTATTTATTCAACATTGTATTCATCATAATTTATCCAGGAATACGGAGATGCTGTATAACTTAGGATGCAAAATTATCGTTGAGTATCCCAAAATTAGGAAACATTTTGAACACTTGATTTTTGATTTAAAACAAATTCTATCGTAGTATAAATTAGATTGTCAACGTGGCATGAACTAAATAGTTCAATAAGTAATGTCTCAGTTGTTAACCCAAAAATTGACTGACAAACTCCTACAACAACAAAAATTCTTAAATTGTCATATTAGTAAAAAACGCACTCACTAGAATTTTCAAAAAAATCAACCTTAGCGTTGTGACTTCACGCTCCACAAGTTTACATCCGTTATAAGTAACGCATTTAAAAACCATATTTCAATTCGCATTATATTTTTTTCCTTTCGGATGCTACTTGAATTTTACGAAAAAAAAAAAAAATTTCATGCCTGATGATGACTGGACGTAAAGTCGAAAGTACTTGAGTATTTAACACACACACACACACACACACACACACACACACACACACACACACACATATATATATATATATATATATATATATATATATATATATATATATATATAAGATCATCCTAAGGAGCCAGGCAAACCTGTTAGGTTTCATTTAAACGGATCGTCAGGGCGATGCTGGTCCTGACGATCAGTTATTAGGATTAGGATTAGTTAAGGATTATCTTAGATTTTGCTCT